ACAAAGAGCCTCGGCCGGACTACCTCCCGTGCGATTGTTGTTGATCTTGGAACCGCACGGCAAGGGTGGACTTCCAAACGAAAGACGCCTACTTCGCAGCCGGGTTGGGGGGGCCGTTGCGGCAGTACGCGTTTGGGTCCGTAGGAGTCTTTGAGAACTGCGGGTTGCACTGGCCCTGGTCTTCAACGCCAGCAGTGTTGCGGCAAGCGAATACGTACTCGATGCCGTTAGGGGCTGATGCACTGGGGGTCACGCAACGGAAGAGGCCGTCGAGGCGGACCTGGGTAGGCTCGAGTTGCTTGCGGCGGATCGCGTCTTCACGCTGCGAAAGGGGACGTCCGAGAGCTGGAGAATGTCAGTCAAAACCGAGTCCATGTAGGCATGTCGTTACTGACTGTTAAGCTCGAAGCCGCAGATGAACTGGCCAGGGTTGCATGTGGGCTGTGCCTGGCGGGCTTGGATGCCCGCAGAGGCGAGCCCGACAAAGACTGCCATGGCAGTGGTGGTGATAGTAGCGAAGTGCATAATGAAGGCTTGGGTTATTGAGATGGCTTTTTGAGTTCTGTCTGTCTGTTGATAATGGTGTTCAAGAAATCAGAACAGCATCACCGGCGGAAGGCCCCCCTTTATACCTGTCGCCGTATCCCTTCTGGTTCAACAGCACGGATGCGCCGCCCCATCACCAACGAGATGCTGTGGACTGACAAATGTCGGGCAATTGCCACGAGGTGGTCTAGACGCTGCCTTGGTGGAAGCAATGACGACGACGGGATCTTGCGCTACTGGGTGTATCTTTGTCCTCTGACAGTGCCCAAGAGGTACATCAAAACCGCGGGGTGCACTTCTCGCAACTAGAAGGCTGAAATCTGACATCCGTCGTGTAAGTCGTCCAAATGAACAATCCCGGTTTACGCGTTTTGAACGCTTGATGAACCTCGACGTGAAACGGCCGAGATCCTGTCATCACATTGGTCATCATTGATGGAGAAGAAAGACACATGTAAGCCACATCCAAAGTTCACGTTGACTTGGTATCCAAACAAGGGAAGAGTTTTCATCACATTGATCACAACTATGGCGAGATTGCCACCGACAAGCCGCCATTTGACCGAGGCTGAGTACCACGACGCGCACAACATTGCTTTAGAGAACGACCGGTGGATGTGAAGGTTGCCATCTTTGGCAAACTCTTAGTGAGAGGTTCATCACTTGACGACGACCTGGAGCCGTCCCAGGTTACGGAACGTCGGAAAAGGGATGTAAGCGCCTCCTGCATGCGTAAGCGCGTGTTCCGACTGTGTGGCTCAGGCTCGCCTGTTCTGTCCCGTGCTTGGGGAGCCGGCCAATACCGAAGAGGTGGTCTTTATATTGCGACTACACCCTTACGTTGGGAACAGAATAGTTTGGATGTCTAAGCAGTCTAGCGTCAGTTGATGGCAAGGTGCGGCCGCCGGCACCAGTCGGAGGTTCTCCAGTGTGCGTGACATTGTAACCCGGTCGTGACGTGAGAGCGGTGGTGAGACATACCCAGAACCTCGAAACTTGGCGAACCGGCGAATGGTTGTGTAACCCACCGTCATAGTCGCGAGCCAGTCGCGGAGCAGCCGACCTATGTGATTACCTTGGGTCATGCACAGCCGCAAGGCTGGTGCTCGATCCGATACTCATTGTAGTCCTTCCATTCGTTCGATTTGATCTCCTGTGAGCTGTTGAAAGGCGACCAAGGTTATCCTGGGTCTTTCTGTTTCGTCGCATCCAGACTATCACTAGGTCTTGTCATGAGCATCCATCATTTCCCGTCCGCCAATTCTGTCAATGGGATTTCTGGAGCTATACTTTGTGAATTTGGTGAGTTAGCGTTTATAGGTTGTACCATTCGAAAAGACAACTATGTACTTAATTGAAATTGTCGGCCTGTCCAATATGCGGTATGAAGACTATGAGCGTTAGGCCTATCCGTCCATTAAAATAATGAAGAACCTTCTTCCATCCACTAGACACAGTCTGCATCACACCCACTCTTTGATGCCCTTAAACAACCCAATTCACAAACTTCGAAGGGCTGCGGTTAATCTCATACAACCAGACGATCTCGATGCTGTTGAACATCTTCCCTGTCCTTTTGCTTGATAAGTCACACCCTAGTCCCCTGCTCAAGTAGCCCTTTCACATGTTTAATACTGAGCGTCCGCCACAACCGGGACCGATTCGCCGCTTCAATTTACCCGTTCCAGCTCGCTGTATGTTCCCTAATCAGATCGAAATGGTGGCAACTCTAACCAGTAGGATTGTAGCCGGCCACAAGTTATGGGCGGTTAGTACATCGAATGGGTGGTGATGCTGCAGGCTTGCTAACCAATGCAACATTCTAAGTCTTCATAACTGCAAGTTCTCTGAAGCCACAGTCAGCATCCTTGCAAGATATGAAACCACATGAACCAGATTTGGCCTTGAGCAGAAAGAAGGTGTCGAAAGAGGATGGATCGGATTGACGTATGGTGAAGCCAGTCACACGGGCACACTTGAGTAACAATCGTTGCTTCTTGGGCAGGGCATAGAATCTGACGCCCCATGTATTGAGTCCGTGATCGAGTTGAGAGCAACGTCGAGGTGAACCGATAAAGCTGGCAAGCCCAAAAGCCTATGCCGTCGTTCGGCCTGTCTGCCCTTTCATCACCGGTGTTGAAGCTGAATGAACCGAAAGGCGCGAAGTTGTGTGCTTTCGCCCAGTCAAGGGAAGCTTTTTGCGCAGAACAGTGGGCTACATGAATCCAAAGATGGAGCAATAGTCCGGAAAGCCTTGCCGCAGTAGCGCAGATGCAGTGATTCAGAGTCCTCAATTTTCTTTACTCCAGTAGAAAGTCGATGTCTCAGCAGGATCATTTATCAGACATTGCGCACTGTCAAAATGAGAGATTCCACCAGACTGTGTGAGAGCCCAAGCACAGAAGTTTACGGTGCATGATAGGGAAGAAAGGGGAGAGCACGCACTGTAGGAACCCCCCCACTTTGCAGTTACGTCACAACCCACACCAACTCACAATCTTCAATTCTCACACCCACACACACACTTCACTACCCCAACATCTCATAGCCTTCGAAGCTCACGCAAGGTTGATACCATCAGTTCCATGGAGGCGCTCACTTCCTGGGCCAGCTCTCATGGCGCGGAGCTACATCCCGCTATCGAAATTTTCAACGACAACGATACTGGCAATTCTTTTCGTGTGAAAGTCGGGCAGCAGCTTCGTCCTGGTGAGACTATCGTCACCTGTCCCTTCAGTCTCACACTATCGTTTCTGAACGCCCTCGACCTGAAGAGCCACGGGCATGAATCCCACGATGACACACAGCCTCTGCCAAGAGAGTTTGTCGAAACTGTACCCCCGCATATCGTCGCCCGCTTCTTTCTTATCAAACAATACCTCTTAGGGCGCGAGTCCTTTTGGTATCCCTACATTTGCACGCTTCCTCAACCGGACCAGTTATCTTCATGGAGTCTACCGCCACTGTGGCCTTCTGACGACATTGAGTTATTGGAGGACACCAACATTCACACTGCTGTTGCCGAGATCAAGGCCCGGCTCAAGGCCGAATACAAACAGGCTACTCCGCTGCTCGAAGCCTTGCCGAATGCGAACGACTACACACGCCTCCTCTACCACTGGGCCTACAGCATTTTTACCAGTCGCAGCTTCAGGCCTTCTCGGGTGGTTCCTGATCACGAGAGTCTGCCTCTGCCCGAAGGGTGTGCGATTGATGACTTTCATATCCTGATGCCCCTGTTCGATGTTGGAAACCACTCGCATTCGGCTAAGATTTCGTGGGATATTGCTCCAGGTACGAGCACCACAGTCCTCAAAACGCTCGATGCATACGATTCTGGCGCCCAAGTCTTCAATAACTACGGCTCAAAGACAAACGCCGAGCTCATGCTAGCATACGGCTTCCTCATCCCCGAATCGCCGACCGTTCACAATGACTTCGTGCACCTGCAGCTTCGAACGGCCGACGAAACGGCCTCGTCACTCGCAGACTCTGCCAAGCCGCGCTCCTTCTTCTTCTCTCTCCGCCCGGTCGCTGATCCAAGCTCTCTGGCGGCCCATCGGCAGCTGACTCTGCCCGATATCGACCAGGCCTCAGTGCTGCCCGCCTTTCGCCACGTGCAAGATGCCCTCATTTGGCAGTTGTTCCTCCTCCAGACAACACCCGAGCAGCGAGATACCATCAACATTCCATCAGACGCCAAGGATACTGACGAAGAACGCCTGAAGGCCGTGTTGACGGGCAAGCTTCCCGACGGGTTCAGGCCCATCTTGGAACAGACCATGGCCATTATTCAAGCAAAAGCCATGCAGGAGCTGGAAAAGCTGGAGCAGTCAGACTTTGAACTAGACAAAGACACGAATGCCACTCGAAACCAGCGCATGGTGTACCAGTACCGATTACAGTGCAGGCAGGTCCTCATCAACGTGTTGGAGTCTGTAGAGCCACCACCAGAATGAAATAGTTATAGCCACCGAAGAAAAGGAGTCCTCAACTTCGCTTTGCATGAAGCAGACCCCCGTACACCGCCCGTTCCAGCTCGTCGAGGAGCTTGTTCACGACTGGATCTCCAAGTGGCAGAACATTGACAACAAGAACGGCTGCGATACCCGCCTCCCGATCGATCCACCAGCGTCCATTGCACATGCCGCACCACGAGAGGCTACCCTTCCGTCGCTTTCCATCCACGTCCGCCATGTTCATGATCCCGCCGAGGCCGTGGTCGAGTCGCATATTGGTGGGGAACTCTGGGGCGAACATGTCGTGGAACTGGCCTGCGATTGCGTTGAGCATGTCTGACTGTCTCACGTCGAGCTGTGGCGTAAACATATCCCTCAAAGTCGTTTCGCTGACCAAAGCTCCCGATAGCAGCCCTTGAAGAAAGCGTCCGTAGTCGTCTGCCGTTGAGTACAACCCCGCCCCTCCACTCACAATCTCGTGAGTTGTCGGCGTGAGCTTGGGTCCAGGGCCGAGGCTCGTCTTGTCGTCGCCTCGACATGACCAGGCAACAGCACGGTCCTGGACGTGGTCTAGCTTGCCCGGCCAGAATCCAGTGTCGCGCATTTCGAGAGGGTCAAGAACATGATCTTGCATGTAAGCCTCAATGGTGTTGCCCGTCAGTGCTTCAAGTAGCTGCCCAGCCCAGTCCACAGCCGTGCCGTAGTACCAGCCTTCACCAGGTGCAAATTTGAACGGGGTGTCAAAGCCGTCCAGGCTCCAGTCGAGATTGGTGTCTTTACGACCGATGTACTGCGACCATCGAATAAGCTCGGGGTCGGCAAGATCATAGCCTAGACCGACGGTATGAGTGAGCAACATTCTGGCTTGCGGTTAGCTAAAGTGGCTGTATCAATGGCCATGCCGAACATGCCTCAAAGTAATAGCGTTTGAGTTGCCTTCGAGTTTGGGGGCTCCATCGCTGTCGAACCCCTTAAGGATCTGCATCTTGCCCAGCCGAGGGACTATGTGCCTCACGTCGACATCAAGTTCGACTTTGCCCTGCTCCACAAGATGCAAGAGACATGTGGTCGTGACAAGTTTCGTCATTGACGCGATCCAAGAGAAGGACCTCGCAGTCCAAGCGACTGCAGTTTGAGGGAAGTTTTGGCGACCCGACCCACCTGTGTACAATACATCTGCGAGAAATCAGAATGAACTCGCGAACCGGTTCAGTATGGACAGACTTTGATTTCCCACGACCGTGAAAGACGCCCCGAGGAGCTTCCCGGACGTATCTGCTTCGTGAGGTTGCAGGGTGTACTTGGCGAGAATGTCATCTATGGCTGATGACATGATGTGTGTCTACAGTGAGCCCTCTTTGTTCTGTGCGGTCTCTTATCCAAAGCGCGAGAATCAACTGCAACACACGTAGGTTACATAGACGTATAAGATGCTGTTGTTTGTGCAGTCGTGTTGATGTTGGTGTGAGGCAGCAGTCGTCTCTGCTCCCCACCAGCACCCCGCATTCTCTGTTGTCAGCACCAGCCTGCTTTCATGCAACACATATTCGTCATGTCAGCTGTCGATCAACGCTTGGCGGAGCCAATGAGAATACTCCTATCCATCATCACTGAGATGCCACAGTATAGACTGTAGTTTTCAAATTCCTGTGCACAAACCTCAAAGCAGGCACTTCAGCACATCAGACACAGCTTGCTTAATAGTGAGACTGCGCTAGACTCTTCACGTTGTACCATCGACCTCATGCGGTTAGAGCAAGCGAACGTGCCGACAGCATTCTATATTGAGCAGAGTGATATTGGACGTACGATTAGTGCTTCTCCGGTGAGACAATCAGCTCAGGCTCAACCGTGACAGGTTGATAGAGGTTTCAGAATAGGGAGTCTGCCCAACCGATGATCCTTCCTCAATTACCTAAGCCCACGGTCGCGGGCTACCGTTGTAGCGAGATCACTCGGGTTCCTGATTACCCCGGTGGCTGAAGATGTAACATGGTTTCCAGGACCGCGTTGACATGTCGCTAACATTGCGAAGAGGTCATCGGGAACATAGTGGAAAACTCTCGACAGAACTCTCCATGTTGGCTCAGGCCGCCCCCCGAGATGTTGCGCGGCCTGTACTTTAATCAATTTCTCATCCCTAGCATAAGGCTAGCCCACTCTTAAGGCTATAGCTTAATATATTGGCCTCAAAATTCTGCCCACCGGACTACATGCAATCTGGGGCCATAAGGGAGGAGCCACTGATGCAAGACATGAGTGATGCTGTGCAACTGCCCGGTCAACGTTTCATTTGGTGTCCCATCTTAAAAAAAAAGCAGTGCCATTATAGTTTGAGGTTGCCCAGGACTCCCTGATTCAATAAATTTGATCCGGGGAGACCTTCTCTCGGTCTCCACTGAAGGGCAGAAATCCTCTCATGTTACCAAGGAGATCATGCCTCTGCAAGTGACTGTTTCCAGCACATGGCCGATACTTCGGTACGAGAAGCGAGCCGTTTGATATCAAAGCGCAAGGTCGAATCGGGCATCTGTCAAACCTAATTTTTGAGCCCGACGAGAGGCCTCCCTGCTGATTGGTGTGCCGTATGGCGCTGACCATCATTTGACTGATTTGCGGAACGCCCGGAAAGACCGGCCGCTGCGGAGAGTCTGCCGTTGAAGAAGTGGCCTGCCAGTGTGTTCCAGATGGGCGGGCTTCAGAAAGATCGTGCAGTAGCTGGCAATCTCCAGGGCGTGTGGCCCCGTAAGGGTTGGAACGAGTCATAAACCAAGTTAGACAGGGAAAATGAGTCGCCGTGTCACATGTGCGTAGCCACCACAATGCAACCCTCCATCTAGGATCGTCTGCTGGGTTCGACAAAGACCCGACCGTTTATTGACGCTGCAGTGCAAGTGAACATGCGTGGTTATGCCGAACGTTTAGACAAGCGAACGGACAATTACTGAGATCAGGATCCGCTGATTAATTATATGAAGAGCACAAACAACAATAGATAGGGAGACAGACCTTCACCATCAAGGTTCACCGTGCCGCCGGCAGGCAAAGCAGGCGAGTGAGGCAGTGCCACCTCTGTCGGACCACAGACTTGCGTCGTGTCGAGTCAGAAGCAGGACTTGATCATGATTTCTTAAATTGTTCAGTGTATATTATCTTGAGGTCAATGTATTGTGAAGCTCTCCACGAGGTAGCGTAAATGATCGACACGCTGCGCCAACGTCAAGGCATAGTCAATTTGTATCAGGAAAACAAGCAGCAGCACAAAAATAGCCGTTCTGCAGTGCGCGAGAGCTCCCGCCTTGCATCTGCCGCCGCGGGACCCGAGTTGTTCTCTTGGCTGGAATCGAGAGCGGACGGACGCCCTTAACCCCTGACTGGCTGGCTGGCCTGATGGGTATGAACTCGCGTTCGTGTGTCTCGCCCACCACACAACCAAAACAGAGTTTCGCTTCCTACCCCAGCCATCAGTCATGATGTTGCAACACGACATGGGTGACTTGATTGCCTTGGGGTCAGGGTCGCCGATCTCACGTGGCCCCCAGCAAGCAAAGCGCAGACCTCCCTCAGGCACCTACCTGCCGACCTGCCTCAAGCTGCCTACCTGCACCTGGATGACCACGCGACTTTTCAGTGCTCGAGTAAATTTGTGGCTTTTGCTGGTTGATTGTCGTTTTGTGTCCCCCACGCGTGGCACCAAACGTGCGTGCTTCACCGCGCGCAAATGGTGGCTTTCCATGCACCCCCAAACGGCTGCGGCGGCAATTCGACAAAGCGAGGGCCATTTTTAGGGGGGGGGGAGTGGGTTATAGGCGCAGCTGGGACTCCCTCGACTGCCGATCACACCAGATTCGGCGACACTGGACAGCCAGCGAGGAGGCCAGCTCCCGGACCGACTGACAGGTCGTCAGGGAGAAACAACGTAAGAGCGATAACCCACACAGCTACGGTTGATACGATCCGTCCGAACGGTGCTGGCCGAGACAGCAAAGAAAAGGCACGCGCAATCTCCGCGGACTGCTTCCCAACAGCGCGAGGGCTGCAGGTCAAACGGGGGAGTGGATGAAGGGTTGGACTTTTGAATCACAACGCGAGACACTGGGAACAGCCCTCCAAGATCTTGGCCCAGCGCTAGCCCACCCAGAACCGTGCCACTGGAAAACCCAAACTGGCCTGGGACGGCAGCTACTGGCCTTTCCATTCTCGCTTCGTCGGGGGCATGTCAACGCTCAGAGCTGGACATGGGCCACAGAAAAGCCCCCGTTCCTCGCTCGGGGTTTGGGCAATCTTTTGACCCCGTACGAATCCAATTTGCGATTGGCGCTGAAGGGAAGAATGACGAGCAACCTGACAGGAAATGGCGAGACATGGCTGGGGGACAAGGGGACTCTACCTATCCCCTTTGGATACCGTCGCCGTCCTGGCTGGACGCTAGCGATGATGATGTAGTGGAGCGGAACGACCCAGTGCGCTGGTTTGGGTCGTCTGGCGGAAGAGAAACCCACTCATTCACCCACATCCCCTTGTTGCCAAGACTCTTCCACTGACACTGACAGTCGGTCATTCAGGTTGACCGGTACGGTCGGACAAGATGACTGGAACGGCAGGTAGCTGCGAACAGGAATCATCAGATCATTGCTTGCGTCCCTGCTAAACGAGGCGACGTCAGTCCAGTGCAAAAGACCATCGAGCGGTGGCACGATTTGGACTAGGGGCTCGTCATCCTGATTGCTGGGATTTCTCTGCCATGTACATCCTTCAACTGTCGAGGTGGTACCAAGTTCAAGGCCCCAGATTGACTTCCCTGGAAAAAGCCAGACCGAGTGTGGGGACGCCCTCTTGATCGGGAACTCGATGAGGCCCAGGGAAATTTGTGTGACGCCCGCAGGGCAGCAGAAACGATATGTTGCCTGGTCTGCCCGCATTTTGATCGCCAAGCCATGGTGCAGCGTGCTTCTAGCAGGTGGAGGGAACGTCTGAGGCATTTCATGGCCTGAGAGAGATCCTCTGCTGACGAGAAGCATAGCAAATTGAGCAGCGGCGGTGTAGATCTTCCGGGGCCTGGCGTCCTGGACGCCCTGGGAAATGGAGAAACACCTGGACCGGCACCAGCGGTGACTGGACGGACTTGGGTGTTGCACTAGGTCCCTGATCAAGCAAGGTGGCCGGCGGATTAGCATCTTCAGCAGGACAGGCTGGTGACGACGGTGTAGCGTCAGTTTGATAGCCAGGACATGACGCGACCCTTGACCACAACACAACCAGCTGATCTACAGGTGCTTTTTGGCCGATATGCCGACGACGGCGGTGGGAGCGCGGGGCGAACGGGGGATATTGGCCTTTGCCGTTGCGAAAACTCCTGTCGATCTGTCTGTACCTTGCTGAACGTGATGTGATGAAGCCGGAATTTCACTTCAAGGCCAACGGACAGCATTCACCACCCCAACACCGTGATTCACCATCTCGTGGTACTAGAATTGAGGCCGCTGTAGCACTCTCGACTGTGCCATGTGGACTTGAAAGCCCCGTTCCACCCGAGTCCGTTCCGTTCCGTTCCCTACGACCCGAGCCGTTGGTTTGGGACGAGTCAGTAGTTAAGGAGGCTACTCGGTACAGCTTCACCCCAGGAACCAGGGACCGAACCACCTTTGGTACACATGCCCCATGCACACCGGTCGATGAGGGAGGAGCCATGCCATCCATGCCCAGTGCTGCAGCTCGGTGGGTCAAACCTGTCCATCTCAAGGCGTAGGATAGGATGGATGGCCAGGATAGAGAATCATGGCCGGTGCAACGTGTAAGGGATGCGAGCTGCTTCTTGATGGCACACCGGTATTTTGGGTCTTCGGGCCTCCTGGCCCCAAGTTGTGATGACAGTCCAGTCCAGGTTCACTGTCATCTAGAAAGAAAACTTCGCTGCTAACAGGTACACCGGCCGGGGAGAGCCACGCCATGGCCGAATATCGATTCTCCTTTCTTCCGCCAACTGACGCTCCCGCGCCAAGAATTGAGCAGACGAGTGGCCAGTCTCCTGGGTCCACGCTCGTTTCGAGTCTTTCGTATCTAGAGGCGACGCAGCGTCCTGGTTGGCGCGATGCTCGAAATGATGGGTGCGGTTTCGTTGCCATTTCGGGCAGTACTAAGGAGCAGAAACCCCAGCCTGTCGTCTCTTCAGTATTTTTTGCTGCCCCGCAGGTGGAAGAACGGCGAGAAAAGGCCTGCAACGATACATGGCGCCGTACTTGGATGGGGCCATTGTGAAATTGGGGCCGGCTTTTGGGAGACGCGGCCCCGCTGATGGTCGCCTGGCAGTCTTCTTTGCGTCTTCGAGAAACGCTGAGTCGGCCAGGGGTCTCATGGCGACGCCGAAGAGGGGAGTGGGTGATCCACCTCCGTCATTCACTAGCTGTGGGCAATGTACCATGTAGTGCCCGGATGCTGTTCGATGGTAGTAACAAATAGCATCATGTCCGGGCAATCGTAATGGCTCTTTAAATTAAATCTGCCCAGGTTTCTGGTGACGTACTTAGTAACTTGGCAAAATGGTGGTCGCATTTTCATCCCACGTTGCTTGAGGCCGCCTCGACTTTGGGAGGGTTAGGAATTGAAAGGCCCCGCGCGTGCAAACTTGCATGTGTTACGCGAAAAGGACGATCTGCATAATCTCGGCGTGAAAGGCCCCGGATCGATTTTTAGTAACGTTTACCTCCACAATGCAATAGCAAGTTCGTAAGAACCGTTTCGAACCCATATTGGGCTTATTCATGCAAGACACCATGACGGCGACGGACTGTCGGAGCGATAAAGAACAGGTACCTCACCTCAGCTACCTGTGTAGAACAACCCGAGGCAGAGACCGGGAGCGAGACATGCTGACAAGTCTGGCTGGACAGCCGACCAAACAACGCCCCTGGCTCGAGTCAGTCGAGATATCGAACGCTCGACACGCCAAAACTTCGCTACGACTTCGAGAAGGTCGTGATGCGGGGGCGCTGAAGGGCCCGAAGCACATCACTTTCTCATCTCTCCCTCCATTCCCTTCATTTGTCACAAGCCACGCCCCCCCTGGCCATGTCGGTAGATGCCGTCCATGCCCCCCATCCTTTGCGCGCCAGAACACTAGATACTACCTTTGGTCGCCGACTTTGTCGTCCACGATGAGCCAAGCCGTCCCCTTCCAGGTTGGA